TCCTCTTTTGAAAGCTGACCGGCACCTTGTCGCAGTCCCACGCATCACTCCTCCGTACAGGAGTTCTTTCTGCAACAGCCTGCCCCATCAAGAAAGCCCGTGTTGCAGTTCATGTCCGTAAACAATCCAACAATTTATTCCTAGGTTCCACTTTCACGCTTCAAGGCAAGAGCAAGGCCTGTGCTCAGGTTTGCTGGCGCTGCGTGGACCAGGCTGCTGCCTGCCTTTTCTTTGTTAAATCACCATGAAACAGAAGGGGTAGAATCAAGTAAGTGAATGAGCTGAGTTAAGAGATGGGGCGAACCTCGCGAGGAGTTCTGTCCAAACTGCTGAATAGGAGCAAATCCAGGGGTGACTGGAGAAGATTAAGTACCAGTGCTAATGTGCCAAGTCCACCTGGGGAGTAGCAGCAAGATGAACCCATCCAAAAAACTCAGCATTCCCCCCTACCCCCCCTGACATCTGGCTAGAAGAAGAAGCTGTAGCGTTAGTAAAACCAGATTTTAAAGAAAAAACCAGTGCTGAGTTACAGGAGATGCTTAAAGTAAAAACAAATTAAGAGTTTTAGGAAATGCGATACTCAAGTTTTTCAGAACTACTGTATATTCCTTTCCTTTGTTGAAAGTCCAAACGTTGAAGCTCCATTAGCTCAAGGGGACTGCAAACACAGGCTGACGGCAGGAACACTCAATAAAATACAAACACCAGGTGTAGAATGAAGCCAGCATGACTGACTCTTTCCATTTTTAAGTCTTCCTGGAAAAATGGGAAATGCAGACCAACAGGCTTCCCTAGTTTCTCTTCACAGTACTTCCCCCATTGTATAAGGGACTAGCCCTATTAGAGTACTATTTCAATTTTTTTTTGACAAATTCACTGCAGAAAAAGGATTTTAAAAATAACGGAGCCCTTTCAAGGGGGAATACGGAACTTTTAGCTTCTGCAAATGTAAAAACAATGCGTATTTGCAAAGTTCATTCTGTAATATACATGCATTATTGCTAGAAGGCGGGGGGAAGATAATGAAAACTCTTCTGCAGCTTTTATGGTGCCATCCAAAATGGCATCTGTTGTTTAGCTCGCTGTTGTGAGGAAGGGTACTGGTATCCCAAACTCCATCCCTGTGAAAAAGTACTTGCGTTTTTATGGCCACCATGTTCCTCCTCTTCATCTGATGAATCTCCAGCATATGCCACTAATCCAAAGCCCTTTTCTGCAGTTTTCATCTTCTTAGCTTGATGATCTAGGAGGGGAAAACAAAACAATCCCCCCAGCCCCCAAGAAGGAAAAATAAAACCAAAGAGATAAAATGCCCCAAAACGAGTTAATAATAATAATAAAAAAAAGACATTAGTTGTAAATTGTTAGTTGGACATCATTTTGAGGTCGCAAGGCCAATGGTCATCCAAGGTTGAAGGCCACACGAAACAGCACCAGCAACAGCACATGTGATCCATCAGAACCATGTAAGAGAACAGAGAAAGAAGAAACAAACACACAAAAAAGGTAAAGTTAGCAAATGGGTCTAAGTGATGGCAATTTCACCGTTAAAGAGATAAATAAGTAAAGAAAAGTAGAAATTTTGTTCAAAAGAAAACTAACAGGAGAGCAATCTCTGGGACCAACACTGCAGAAAAACTAAGGTTACACAGGCTAACATGATGTACCTGCAGACCTGAAATGCACTAAACTACCAGGAGAGTTAAAATGATTACATGTTTTACCAAGTTGCTAACACTTGATGTATGACAGCCCTATGAAAGGATGAAATCTGACAGCACTTCTGTTGTTTGCAGACATAACTCGTGTCTGTAAATACACACCTGAACATAACTCCTGATACTCCTTAGTGCCTCTAGAGATAGCTGTTCACAATGTAAAGCCACATGATATCCGTGTTACAAAACAATCCTATGAGATTCTGTGCCTCAGCTGACTGAAGGGTCAAAAACACCTGTATTTAGTCCTTCACTTAATTACACTCTCTTAATTCATAAAGATATTTATTAAAGTGTTAAGAGAAGCATCATGTGTGTATAATCACAGCAAACAAATGATTTTAGAGCAGTGCAGTATGACCTGCTTTTCACTTAAACAATGCAGTATAAAGAACAGCCAGAAAAAAAAGTCAGTCACTGATTTAAATGAATGTTAAGACCAGCAGAAACTCATTTGGGAAAGGAACCGTGACTTACAAGTGTATTTTATTCATTGCACTCACCATGGTTGCCTGGTAAAGACACCGCACCATTTCTTTCTTCAGATTCCGATTTCATCCCAGTGACAGGAAAAGCTGGCGGAGGCATCAACTGCCTATTTAAATGAATGCAAGCCCTTATTTTTTATTTTTTAAAACAAGCAAAGAGTCAAAGTTAATAGCAAACAAGTTCATAACCCAGTCCTTGACCTGAGGAGTTTAACTTTTAATTGCATGACTAATCTAGTGGCCTTCTACAATGGAGCGACCGCATCAATGGACAAGGGAAGAGCAACTGATGTCACTTACCTCGACTTCTGTAAGGCCTTCACAATCGTCCCCCACAACATTCTTACCTCTAAATTGTAGAGAAATGGATTTGATGGGTGGACTATTAGATGGGTAAACAATTGGCCAGATGGCTGTGTTACAGTTACAGTCAATGGCTCAATGTCCAAGTGGAAACCAGTAACAAGTGGTGTCCCTCACGGGTCTGTACTGGGGCCAATACTATTTAGTGTCTTCATCAATGGCACAGACAGTGGGATTGAGTGCACGCTGAGCAAGACTTGCAGATGACACCAAACCGAATGGTGCAGTCTACACATTAGAGGGAAGCGATGCCATCCAGAGGGATCTTGACAGGCTCGACGAGTGGGCCATTGCGAACCAGTGGGCCAGTTCAAAGCCAAGTGCAAGGTCCTGCACATGGGTCAGAGCAACCCCCGCCTATCAACATAGGCCAGGAGATGAAAGGATTGAGAGCAGCCCTGCAGAGAAGGACCTGGGGATACTAGTGGATGAAAAACTGGACATAAGCCAATAACATGTGCTTACCGCCCAGAAAGCCAATCATGTCCTGGGCTGCATAAAAAGAAGCATCGCCAGCAGATTGATGGAGGTGATTCTCTCCCTCTGCTCTGCTCTCAAGATCCCACCTGGAGCACTGCATCCAGCTCTGGGGTCCCCAGCACAAGACATGGACCTGTTAGGGTGGGTCCAGAGGAGGACCACAAAAATGATCTGAGGGCTAGAACACCTCTCATGAGGAAAGCCTGATAGAGTTGGGGTTGCTCAGCCTAGAGAACAGAAGGCTCCAGGGATACCTTATTATGGCCTTTCGATACCTAAAAGGGGGTTTGTAAGAAAGACAGAGAGAGACTTTTTACCAAGGGCTGTAGTGACAGGACAAGAGGTAATGGTTTCAAACTAAAGAGGCAGATTTAGATTAGATATAAGGAAGAAATTATTTTCCGATTCATAGAATGGTTTGGTTGGAAGGGACCTTAAAGATCACATAGTTCCAACCACCCTACCATGGGCAGGGACACCTTCTACTAGATCAGGTTGCTCAAAGTCCCATCCAACCTGGCCTTGAACATCCACAACTTCTCTGGGCAACTTGTTCCAGTGCCTCAACACCCTTACAGTGAAGAATTTCTTCCTAATACCTAATCTAAATCTTCCCTCTTCCAGTTTAAAGCCATTGCCCCTTGTCCTAGCACTACAGACCCTTGTAAAAAGTCCCTCCCCAGCTTTCTTGTATGCCCCCTTTAGGTACTGGAAGGCTCCTACGAGGTCTCCCCAGAGCCTTCTCTTCTCCAGGCTGAACAAGCCCAACTCTCTCAGCCTGTCTTCATAGGAGAGGTGCTCCAGCCCTCTGATCATGTTTGTGGCCCTCCTCTGGACTTGCTCCAACAGGTCCGTGTCCTTCTTGTGCTGGGGGCCCCATAGCTGAACGCAGTACTGCAGGTGGGATCTCTTGAGAGCAGAGTAGAGGAAGACAATCCCCTGCCTTGACCTGCTGGTCATGCTTCTTTTGATGCGGCCCAGGATACAGCTGGCTTTCTGAGCTGCAAGCACACATTGTCAGGTCATGTTGAGGTTCTCATCAACCAACACTGCCAAGTCCTTCTCAGGGCTCCTCTCAATCCATTCTCCACTCAGCCTGTATTTATGCTTGGGAATGCCCCAATCCAGGTGCAGGACCTTGCACTTGGCCTTGTTGAACTTCATGAGGCTCACAGAGGTCCACTTCTCAAGCCTATCAAGGTCCCTCTGGATGGCATCCCTTCCCTCCAGCGCGTTGACCGCACCACACAGCTTGGTGCTGTCCAGGGTGCACTCAATCCCACTGACCATGTTGCCGACAAGATGCTAAACAGCCCCAGTCCCGATACCAGCTCCTGAAGAACACCACTTATCGCTGGTCTCCACTTGGACATCAAGCCATTGACCACAAATCTTGTGAGTGCAACCAGGCAATTCCTTATCCACCAAGTGGTCCATCTGTCAAATCCATGTCTCTCCAATTTAGAGACAAGGATGCTGTGCAGGACTGTGTCAAATGCTTTGCACAAGTCCAGGTAGATTACATCACAGAATCTATTTGGTTGAAGAGACCTCTGGGATCAGAGTCCAACCTTTGCCCTAACACCACCATGTCAACTAGACCATGGCACTAAGTGTCATGTCCAGTCTTTTCTTAAACACCTCCAGGGATGGTGACTCCACCGCTTCCCTGGGTAGCCCGTTCCAATGCCTAATGACCCCTTCTGTGAAGAAATGCCTCCTCATCTCTAGCCTGAACATCCCCGGGCGCAGTTTCAGACTATGCCCTCTTGTCCTGTCACTAGTTGCGTGGAAGAAGAGACTGACCCCCACCTCACTACAGCCTCCTTTCAGGTAGTTGTAGAGAGCAATAAGGTCTCCCCTCAGCCTCCTCTTCTTCAGGCTAAACAATCCCAGTTCCCTCAGCTGGTCCGCATAAGACATCCTCTAGACCCTTCACCAGCTTGGCTGCTTTTCTCTGGACTCGCTCCAGCACCTCAAGGTCTTTCTTGAATTCCAGGGCCCAGAATGACACAGTATGCAAGGTGTGGCCTCACCAGTGCCAAGTACAAAGGGATGATCACTTCCCTGGTCCTGCTGGCCATGCTATTCCTGATACAAGCCAGGATGCCATTGGCCTTCTTGGCCACTTAGGCACACTGCTGGCTCATGTTCAGCTGGCTGTCAACCAGCACCTCCAGGTCTTTTTCCACTGGGCTGCTTTCTAACCACTCTTCCCCCAGCCTGTAATGCTGCACGGGGTTTTTGTGGCCAAAGTGTAGGATCCAGCACGTGTTCTTATTGAATCTCATGCAGTCGGTCTCAGCCCATCTGTCCAGCCTGTGCAGGTCCCTCTGTAGAGCCTTCCTACCCTCCAGCAGATCAACACTCCCACCTAGCTTGGTGTGATCTGCAAATTTACTGAGGGTGCCCTCAACCCCCTCATCCAGATCATCTATAAAGATGTTAAACAGCACCGGTCCCAAAACTGAGCCCAATGTCAGTTGCTCTTCCCTTATCCACCAACACTGTAATGCTGAACGGTGATGAGACACTGGATTTCCAGACAAGTTGTGATGCCCCATCCCTGAAGTATTCGAGCTCAGGTTGGAAGGGGCTCTGAGCAACCTGATCTAGTAAATGTCCCTCCCCACGGCAGATGGGGTGGACTAGGTGATCTTTAAGTGTACTTTCCAACCCAAATCATGCTATGATGATATGAAATAAAGTGCAAGCCCAACAGTTTTGTGGCTCAATGCACTGGAATGCATAAAGAAGAGTAGCGATGCCTGATGACTTCAAATAGCCATGCTGAATTTAGGACCACATACAAGATGGAAAACACAGGAAGCTTTACTAATTCCCTTGATGTATTTCATAATGACCAGAAAACAAAACTGAATATCAAGTAAATCTTTCCCTGAAACTTTAGGCTGCAAAATTTCAAGTTAAAACCTTTTTCAGATTTGTTTCAAAATTGGAATAATTCAAAGTCTAAGTGCTAACCTACTTCACAAGAATATCCTGTTATCTCAAGAAGTTGGCAAAATACCAGACGCAGACAAAGTAAGAGCATATAGACTTAGGGAGGAGTGGAAATTAAGCTATTTTCATTATGTGGGATGAAAAGGTAACCCTTGCAACCCTTCTCAAAAAAACCTCTAAAAACCAAACAAACACAGAGAAAACACCCATAACAAAACAAACAACCCTCCCTCACCCCCAAGTCACAGAAGAGAACAAGAAACACAAATCATCTCTTAAATAAGCTTTCATCAGAATCAGAAAAGACCTGAACATAGTTCTTCCATGACTCACCTGTCCCTCTCTCTCTCCTTTCCTGAGGAACTTGCTGGCTTCGATCCGGCTCCATCGATTTCACTCTGACTGGAGAAGCCTGTACCTAAATTAGTCATATGAATGGGTCCATGCTATGAGCAGAAAAACACACGGCATTAGCAAATCTACAACTACAACATAAGCTATAGCTCCTTAATGATAATGATAGGAAACCCAACCTTTCAGAGCATACTGCCAACTAGCAGAAGAAACCACTAAACGCCATTGTTAAACAAAACGCTTTCTGCTAAAAATACTAAGGGTAACGTAGTAAGAAACACGCCTGAGCATGAATATGGAAGACACCTCACCACCTACTCCTCCTCTTCAGTAGTTCAGGACAGTAAAGACAGTTGCTTAGTTCACGGATTGACTTATTACCTCCTCATCAGCTAATTCTGAATACTGTATAGACCTCATGCCACAGTAAACTCTGCTCAAGATACTAATATTAGGTCTAACATATAGGCAGTTTCTTATTGACTCTAGGCAAAGCTTTTATTAAGGGTTTCTGCCTCAAAGCAGGGGTGTATCATCAGAGAAGCATTTGCAGAAACTCCCTTTTCTCACATACAAGTCTGAAGAACTCAAAATTATTTTTATTAAAATCAACTGTTTAACATTTACTATCAAAAAAAAAAATCAGTCTCTTAAAACTAGGTTTCTTGAAATCTTCTCAAGTGCAACCTGTAAGAAAGGTAAATGGGAAAATCTGGAAGTTATTACCACGTTTCCCTCCCACCCCTCAAACAAGCCCACTCAAAAGACCCACAAAAAACCCAAACGAAACCCCAAATAATCTCCCTTTAAACTAACCAGTAACATGCTATTGTCATCTTTGACCTGAACGCACCGCTACTCTTCACGAAAGCCTGAGGGTATAAGAAAGCAAGCTTCCAACAAATCAACTAAGTGACAGTTTAAGAACAGTGCATCCACTCAAAGAAACCATAGCATGGTCTCAATGTTTTGTAACAATTGCTGCCATCTACAAAAGGTCTTGTGTGACTGTTGCCAAATAAACTGTGCTAATAATAATCTCTCTCCAGCCAAGTTCCATTTTGGTGAATGAAGTAAAATTGCCGATTTTATTCCACCTGATATCCCAGCAGTCCTGACTCTCTTTCATCCGGTAGTTCCTCAGTGAAGCGTCTCTTTTGACCCTGGGAATGGGGTTGGACTTGTGGCTGTGTACCAGTTGGCATGGTTGTTTTTACTGGGGCAGCAGGAAGAAAAGGACCACTCAGTGGACTCTAGCATGCAGAAGTTGAAAACAAAACACAAGAAAATTTGGTAATAGGTATATAAAGTATTATTTCAATGTAGAGTTTCATACATAGAAGCAGAACACACAACTAGTTTCTCTTTGCAGAACCTAAGAGAAGCTAAAAGGAAATTCACAACTTAAAGATAAAACAAGTACTTCATCTATAGAATGCTCCCACCTCCAACTAATCACCACCTGTAACTCAGACTCATTGTACCTATATAGCTGCATCACAGCCTGTGATAACGCTTTCATAAACGAGCAACCGTCCCCTGCAAATATCAGGTGGCTATGATATGAAAAATGCCGTATGAAACAGCCATACCAACAATTTAGCTGCTTAGACAGAAGGAACATCAAAGCAGTAACAAAAAAAAAACAACCCACCCTAAAGAAGAACTCTGCATCTGGAACTGCTTCAAGCATTTTATTGTTAACAAAGAAACAGCTTAGTAAGTTGGCAGCTATAGGGCAAATAATTAATCTGTGGCAGTACCTGGCCAGTGCTGGCTGGAGGCTGTACTTGAGATATTGGATACTGTGTTGGCACAGGTGGAACTCCTGTAGGTAGTGTTGTTAAGACTCCAGGTGCCAATGGCACTGCAGGTGGTGCTATGCCTGGTACACCATATGGTGGCTGAACTGGTTGTTGAGGAGGGGGAACAACAGGATAACCAGACTGATACCCATTGGAAGGATAATACGATGGCTGAGAAGGTACGCTATTTATCGTGGCAGGCTGTGTGAAGCCTGGTGAGAGAAAGGGGAAAAAACGGTGATCTTCAATTCAGTTAAAATCACAAAAATATCAAATTTAACTATTAAATGTAAAAGAAGCTGGACTCCTTTTCAACTGAAGGACTTAACTTAGACTTCCATGGGTAACTAAATTCTACAAAACTAACTGTAAGAACAGCTCTGCAGAGCGCAACTCCAAAGACTTCATTATCGTTAACGTTTACCTGCTAAGGGTACTGCAGTGGTTATCTGATTCACAAATCGGGAGTATTCAGCATGAACCTACAAAGAATTTTCAAAGATTACACAATAAACATCTATTTACTATATTAACCTTTTGCAGGCAAAAAGCATCTTGCCACACATCGCCATTAAACTGTAAGGGGACATTGTTAGAAAATATGCTATGCACCAAAAACCCACCAACTAAAACTACCCTGAACATCGCACATGCCACTAATCCTGCTGGTATCTGTGACAGATTTGTGTGACATATAGGATAATCTTTCACAGCAAAGAGCGGCAAACTGTTTCCTTCAGCAGAGACAAAAATACTCAAAGAATCTAAAAGTTTCCATATATTTTTCAAGAGACTTTGTACCCATACTGAATTATCAGCACGAACAGAAAGACCGTCTCAGAGGATTTCACTCTATTTGCATTCATCGAAGAAAAGCTGAGAAATTAAATTTCTATGTGTACACGTGAGAGATCTTCCAAAATTGTTTTGGTACAACAGTCACATTAGGAAAGATAAAGCAGAGAGCATGGCTCTGGACAACACTTAGACCTAAAGCAAGGGAAGCTACAGCAGTTGGAAAGAAGCAGGTTTCCTTTACGTTTCCATACAGGCAGACAATCCCCTACCCCCCACCCCCAGTTCTGCTCAGGAAGCATTTCCATTTGTTCCCCAAAATTCCACTACTACAGCTGCATCCTGAGAAATGTTTATTCACTGTACAAAAATTAGACAGCAGTACTTAGAAGGAAAAACCTATCGGCAACCGAGAACACACACACAGTTTTGCTCAGAGCGTACAAAAATCATTAGCCAGGCACACGCTAAAGCTACAACAGGCTCTGAAATCTCGTATTTGTAAGAGCTACTCACGGTTTGCAATAGATTTTCACACAGCTTTTTAGCAGCTGCCAAACCTTCTGGCTTTGGGTGACTGAAAACATATACAAAAAAATACCTCATAAGCACAAGTGTTTCCGCCAACTCTGGGAGCTACTTTTTCTCAGATCCTACCCCTTCACTGAGTGA